CAGCCTGCAAACAGCCATCAGCCCCTCACTCAGACTGGCCAGGCACCACAGTGGGGACCCCCACCCTGAAGGGGGTGTGGCCAGCCTGAAAACGGCCCTCAGCCCCTCACCCAGACTGGCCAGGCACCCCAGCAGGACCCCCACCTTCAGGGCAAACCAGCTGGCCCCCACCCGTGCACCAGGCCTCTATCCTATATAATAAAAGGGTAATATGCAAATTGACCTTAACAGCAGAATGACTGGGAATGACTGGTCACTATGACACACACTGACCACCAGGGAGCAGACACTCAGTGCAAGAGCTGTCCCCTGGTGGTCAGTGTGCTCCCACAGGGGGAGCTCTGCTCAGCCACAAGTCAGGCTGATGGCTGCCAGCACAGTGGTGGTGGTGGGAGCCTCTCCCGCCTCCTCAGCAGCACTAAGGATGTCCGTCTGCAGCTTAGGCCTGCTCCCCGCTGGCAAGTGGACATCCCCTGAGGACTCCCGGGCTGCCAGAGGGATGTCTGACTGCCAGCTTAGGCCTGATCCCCCAGGGAGCTGGCCTAAGCCAGCAGGTGGACATCCCCCGGGGGGTCCCAGACTGCGAGAGGGCACAGGCCAGGCTGAGGGCCCCCCACCCTCCAGTGCACAAATTTTTGTGCACCAGGCCTCTAGTTATTAATAATTATGTGTAACAGGATATTGTAAAAATTAAGTTACAAAATTTTTATTAAAAAGTTTCTTACATACCGTTATATTGGCTGGGCTGCAAAAAATATTTGTTGTGGGCTGCATGCGGCCCTGGGCCACGAGTTGACATGCTTGGTCTAGAGCAGTGGTTCTCAACCTTCCTAATGCCACGACCCTTTAATACAGTTCCTCATGTTGTGGTCACCCCCAATTTCATTGTTACAAATTGAACGTAATTAAAGCATGGTGATTAATCACAAAAACAACATGTAATTATATATGTGTTTTTCTATGGTCTTAGGCGACCCCTGTGAAAGGGTTGTTTGACCCCCAAAGGGGTCGTGACCCACAGGTTGAGAACCATTGGTCTAGAGAGACCCTGAGCCCAGAACCCAGTTTCACTGTCCCCCACCTTCTGCTCAATAGAAATCTGGAAATAATAAATAGGTGATTTAAACCCTTAACTTTCCAGTAATTTATTATATAGCAATAGAAAACTAATACAATAGCAATGATGATAGCATACTTCTAGGATGGATATGCTTTTCCTTGCATGTATGTGTGTAGCAAACTATGGCAATACTAGAGCTACTTTGGCATTTTTCACATTTATGGTCCAGTCATAACATATGATTCAACACTGAAGGATTAAGGAAATAGCTTTTAGCTTATGTTCTGTGAAGGTATTTTGTATTTGGTTTAACCCACATTTGTTCTCAGCTCCCACTATGTGACTGAAATAAAACATCTAAATATTGTAGAACCAGAGAATGACTATACCATTTGCTTATCACACCACCAAGAGGAACTAGTTAACCTTTAACAATGTATCTTTATTTAATTTGCACACTCCTACTTTCTTCCTTATTTTGAAAGCCAGTGTTTTTCCCTGGACTTACTCTAAGAAAAGGCTGCCCTGAAGGGGGTGTGACCAGCCTGAAAACGGCCCTCAGCCCCTCACCCAGGCTGGCCACACTCCCATGGGGTGAGGGTCCCCACTGGGGGAGTTCACCAGCCTGCAAACAGCCATCAGCCCCTCACCCAGGCTGGCCACACTCCCATGGGGTGAGGGTCCCCACTGGGGGAGTTCACCAGCCTGCAAACAGCCATCAGCCCCTCACCCAGGCTGGTCAGGCACCCCAGCGGGACCCCCACCCTGATCCAGTACACCCTTCAAGGCAAACCAGCCGGCCCCCACCCGTGCACCAGGTCACTATCCTATATAATAAAAAGGTAATATGCAAATTGACCCTAACAGCACAACGACTGGGAAAGACTGGTCACTATGACACACACTGACCACCAGGGGGCAGACGCTCAATGCAGGAGCTGCCCCCTGGTGGTCAGTGCGCTCCCACAGGGGGAGCTCTGCTCAGCCACAAGCCAGGCTGCCAGCTGCCAGCACAGCGGTGGTGGCAGGAGCCTCTCCCGCCTCCTCAGCAGCGCTAAGGATGTCCGACTGCAGCTTAGGCCTGCTCCCCGCTGGCAAGTGGACATCCCCCAGGGCTCCCGGGCTGCTGGAGGGATATCTGACTGCCAGCTTAGGCCCGATACCCTGGGGAGTAAGCCTAAGCCAGCAGGTGGACATCCCCTGAGGGGTCCCAGACTGCGAGAGG